GAGTGGACAATGAGGAAATGGAGAAAACCAATTTTTAAAAATCAGCTGTGAATGAAGAAGAAAGGAAATAGTGCACTCACAACCTAAATGTGAATGCGTAGTTTGCATGAAATGAACACCAAATGGACAGGAGGAGGGAGAATTCTTAAGCTTAGAGGTGTGAATATCTAATTCCCCACATAAATGGACAGTAATTACAAGGTCACATCACCAGCTTTAAGTCTTAGATGCTGTCACCTTTTATAAGCTACTATCTTAGATTTAAGAAAGAATTACTACTTCATTCAAATAGACCCCTTTCAGCTGTGTGGTTTCTTGTATTTCTGTTCTATCTGATTGCGCCTGTGCCTTCATGTTTCCCCTTCCCAGACTGTTTCAAAAGTTTCATTCCTCGTACAGATATACAGATATGCTCCTATTTAGGTTTACTTGGGTTAAGCTCAGTAAGGCTTGCCTGGCATTCATTCTTAGCATCTCCATGTTGACAGAGTAATTAATATTTCTGTTTAGTCTTCATGGCAGCAAACTTTTAGTATTTTATTAACAAAATGCTGTAAGATTTCCCTTACCACTTCCTGGAAGTTTGTCCCGTTAGCGTCTCTCAGATAGTAAAGCCTATTTAGTAGAAATCACAGAGAAGAGATTGTAAAAAGCCATCAAAGGACAGCCATGACACAAGGCAAACCACTGACCACTGTGCTGACATAACTGACAGATGTGGCTCAGAGCAGTCCACTGTCCTTGGTGCTAACAAGATTACCCCTAAGGCATTTGACAACTGGCTGTAAGAATAAGATATACCATGCTTGTGGCATAGCTGTTGGATGCTAAGGAATTCTTAATTGGGGCAGCTGCAATCAGAAAAGTAGTACTGACAAGCATTCCAACAAATACAGCAAAGCAAATCTTCCCATTGCTGGTTGTCCATGCTGGTCCATCTCAGTGAACTGAAGATTTCCTCAGAGCAAGCAGCTTTGGGAATATTCATTTGAAGAATACTTTTGAAGAACCTAACCTAACTAAAAAACCCTATCCTTACAGTGTTTGTCGGTCAGCCCTTCATTCTTGGTGATCTCCACACAGAAGGTCTTACCTGGTCCTTCCAGCTTCTAGTACTCACTAGAAAAAAAGGAGCTTGCATTTAATTTGTAGATATTTTGTACTTATTCATATGTGCACAGATTATTTTCTGAAACATACTGTAATTTCATGGAGGGAACAGACTTTTTTCATTTCTGTTTTTTTGTCCGCAGTTATCTAGCACATAATGTGTACTTAATAAATATTTGTTGATTGATTTATTACTCCTGGCTGGGGTATATGATGATAGCTAGCACTTAGATAGTACATTAAGGCTTTCAAAATACTTTACAAATATTATTTCATTTTATCCTTACAACAGCCCTTGTCAACAAGTGCTATTATTAACCCCATTTTACAGATGAGGAAACTGATATGAAGAGATATTAAATGACTTGCTCAGGGTCATAGAGCCAGTAAATATCTGGGGCTGGATTTGAACTCAGGTTTTTCTGACTCCAAACCTAGCCCTCTATCCATTATCCACCTAGTCTTGGTTTTCATAGGCCTGCAGGAATGTATTTCCTCTGAAGGCCTCACTGAGCTGTGGAGGGCTACAGATAATTGGGGCTTAGTCTTAGGATATTAAAGCTACCAACGTGGTAAATGAAAGTTAAGTCTCAGACTAGATTCTCTTGAGATTCCTGACCATGTTACAATATTGTAAGGCATCTTCATGCGTTAGTATATGGAAGAGAGTGAAGGAAGAAACAGTGCCACTAGCCACCTCAAAAATTTCATTATGTATTGTGCCACAGAGTATTTTTTTTGGCAAGGATTTGAAATTTATATTCCTGTTTCTCCAAATGTGCATATGAGAAATAAATAACAAGTCCATCCAATACAGGATGAGATCATTTCTTCCTAGTCGTGGGAAAGCTCAAATAAGGGAAGCCTTTGTTAAAGATTTAGAATACATGATAGGTCAGTTCTTTAAAGGTGCTTATTTATTAATTCAAGATCTTCAAGGATAAAAATACAGCCCTGCATTCCTTAAATCTTACTATGGGGTTTGTTGAAATTTTAAAACCATTAATAGATGTATGCAGAAAGGATACAAGAAAATATGTGTAATTGGTTTTCCTGGCCACCCAAATTCTCAGCAATCTTTTATAGTCTCTGAGACTCAGAGCAGTACATGAGGTCATTCCTAGTAAACCAGCTCTGTCTAGAAGTACAGGCTAAGTCTGAGTAGCAACAACAGCTAGAGACTGTGCTGTCTCATACACAGGAGAACAAAAGTTCCATTTTGAAATGCAACAATATAGGATAAACAGACATCAAGAACTTTTTTAACACCAAAATCAAGAGTAAGATACATAGAACATATGTAAGGGGTAATAGAATTTCTTTGCTGTCAGGTACTGAATTCAAGGATTTACCAGACATTTAGATGTTTCTGTCTGTCTATACCCTTCATTACCCCTAAGAGAAAAACCCTGGTCTGATCAGATCACATCAATAACATCTGCCTGGTATCGTGTATGAGGGAGTGACCAAATATGAGGATATTACAACAAAAATGAAACCATCCCTACCCTCGAGGAATTTACATTTTGGGGAAGAGATAATATCTACATCATAAATATGAACAAAATAGATATAAAAATATTTACATGGTAACTTTTGGAAGGGAGGCACTAGAAACTTGGAGGAATCATCAAGATTCATGTCAGAGATGGTGTGTGAGCTGATCTTTGAAGGAAAGGAGGGATTCTAATAATTGGAGGTAAGAAGGAAGGGTCTCTGATATAAGGCCCATCCTTCAAGCCTTTCCAGAGTTGGTAGGACCTGTCAAAATTTGTCCTCTGCTAGTGTGAATTCTAGTAATGCCTTCAAAATATTACAGTGCAATTGAGGCAGAACTTCTGTACAAACTGCATCCCTAGCAGAAAAATGATGTGGTGTGGCTTTGTAAGTCAGAAATATGAATGAATATTTCTCATGTCTTTCTAATAAATGTTGAGTGATTGAATGGTGAGCATTACTCCTATCAAAAATGTTAGAGCAGGAGGACACTTTGCAGATAATCTAGCCTTACCCTTTTATTCTATAATTGAGAAAAATAAGATCCAAAGTATAATGGTTTGTTCAAGATGGTAGAGATAGTTAATAACTGGCCAGGTGTCTCTCTGGTTCAGTGATCTTTCTGATGCATGATACATGCAGATAGATTTCATACTAAATAAACTCCTAGATGTAGTCAGGAAAACCAGAATTCAAACCTTCAGACGCTTAACTAGTTGTGTGAATTTAGACAAGTCACTTAATTTCTGTCTGCCTCAGTTTCTTCATACATGAAATGGGGATAATAGCACCTACATCCCAAAGTTTATATAAGGATAAAATTATATAGTATACATATAGTGTATTAAAAAGCTTTAAAACAGTATATGTATGTTAGCTATTATTAATTTATGGAAGAATGTAAAATTTTCCTTATTTATATTTTCTATAACTGATAGAAAAAACAAGCAAATTTCTCTCTTCAGGAGTTACATAAAAATGTTCATAGAATGCTGCTCCATAATATGACAAAACAATTTTATCTTATGAAATCTGATTTCCCTTAGAAGTGTAAATCATAGGGCCAGCTAGGTGGTGCAGTGGATAGAGCACTGGCCCTGGATTCAGGAGGACCTGAGTTCAAATCCAGCCTCAGACACATAACACTTACTAGCTGTGTGACCCTGGGCAAGTCACTTAACTCCATTGCCTAGCCCAAAAAAAAAACCCCAAAGAAGAGTAAATCATGGATAAAATCACCAGAAGTCATGCAAAACTTGAAAGCCCACAAAAATTAGTGACCCATTATTAGGAACTTGCTTGATTAGTTTTTTTTTTGGTTGCATGGTAATCATCAATTAATTTTCAATCAGAATTGGGGGAAAGGGCAGAGAATAAATGAGTACTGAAACAGTCACCACTAAGATCTCTCTGGAACAAAAGTCATGGGGAAAAGAGAGCAGCTTCCCTGGATCATATGATTAAAATAAGAAGCGGATTTCTTTTACTAACAGGACAAAACTTCTTTGAATGAAAACTAACTTTCCCATTTAAAAAAGGCCAATGTTCCCCACAACTTTCATAAGATCTTGAAAAGAAAAAAAGGTGATTTTCTTGGAATCCTCAGGGGGAAATAAGGTAAGGGTATAGAGACTCTAACCCTGTGTGACAACACTACGGCCAACGAGAAGGACGTAGCGTTATACAGCATTTCCGCTCTTCTCTCTGATCTGGTGACCATTTTAGAAGAAATGCCTCTACCCTTTGGCTCATAGATGAGCTAAAAAAAAAATTTACTCTTGTCTATCTTGTTCACTAGCAGGCTAAGAGAACTCCTTTCAAGATATAAACAGCAAGGATTGGAAAAGGTCTTGATTTATAACCTGATTTCTTTCTCTTTGCAGAAATATTTGTGTTATTAATATCTTTAGGGAATTATTTTTACATTTTCAATTTATGGAAGGCATTTTCTGTTTGCATGTTTACAAAGGGCTAGAAATCTTCCTGAAATTCCATATGCTGAAAAACATTCATTAAATTCCTCTCTTGTTCTGCATTTGCCTCCATGGTTCACACACACACACACACACACACACGTCTATTTTTGAGTGAGAGCTCAAGGTACTCTAGCTTCCCTTCAGTCACTGCTTTAAGTCATAACAGTGGCATCCTGGGAAAGGGGAGTTGATGGCACACTTAAATCTCTTACCAAAGAAGAATTAATAATGGCACAAGGTTAATGGTGAACGTGTTTCTTGTGAAATTTGTCTAGTAGATAATCTGCCATTTTGAAGTAATGATCCTAGGAATATAATTTAGAAAAACATGAATGACATTTGGAAATCCCTGAAGTAAAATAAACTTTGTGTTTTGTGTTGCTATATGAAATCTTACAGGTGGAAGAAAGCAAACAGATGGAAAGGCAAAACCACACCTTACTGACCCTGTTTTTTCTCCATGGTCTTGCTGCCTATCCCGACTTTCACTTTGTTTTCTTTCTGATGTCCCTTATCATGTACATCATAATCTTATTGGGCAACAGTTTCCTCATTACAATCAGCATCCTGGACTCTCACCTCCACACTCCCATGTATTTCTTCCTCAGTAACCTCTCCTTCCTGGACATCTGCTACACATCTGCTTCTGTTCCTTTGATACTTGTGAACTTCATTTCAGGGCGAAATAACATTTCTTTTGTGGGATGTGGAGTACAAATGTTCTTCTCCCTTGGCCTTGGGTCCACAGAGTGTGTGCTTCTGACAGTTATGGCATATGATCGGTATGTAGCCATTTGTAGGCCCCTGAGATACCCTGTCATCATGAACAAGTGGCTTTGTGGGTGGATGGCAGCCAATTCCTGGATGACAGGTGGGCTAAATTCACTGGTGCAAACAATCCTTGCTATGGGGTTGCCCTTTTGTGGAAACAATGTCATTGATTATCTTACATGTGAGATCTTAGCTGTGTGGAAATTGGCATGTATAGATATTTCCCTCAATAAGATTATTATGTTGATATCAAATGTGATTTTTTTAGTTATTCCTGTGGTATTAATCTTCATCTCCTACTCATTCATCCTTTTTACCATCCTGAGAATCAACTCAGTCACAGGAAGGCAAAAAGCCTTTTCTACCTGCTCAGCCCACTTGACTGTAGTCATCATCTATTATGGCAGCATCCTCTTCATGTACATGAAGCCCAAGTCCAAAGACTCCCATGGGACAGATGAGCTGATTGCTCTCTTCTATGCTGTGGTCATTCCCATGCTGAATCCCATCATCTACAGTCTGAGGAACAAGGATGTAAAGGAAGCAGTTAAAAAGTTGAGTAAGAACATCTTCTCACAAGGAACATGAAAGACCAGCATATATTAGTCATATAGCAAATAACTACCCATCCAAAAGAGATAAACTGCCTCCACTTAGAATCACCTCTTCAAAGAGCAAGAGTTGGTTAATACAACATGAGCCTGATCACTTTAGTCTCATTCACCTTCCACTGACACTCCACTCCACCAGAACCATCTGGAACAAAAAAAAAAAACATTCATAGAGGGTTCTAAAGAGTATTGGTAAAGAATCTTCCTTCCTTGGTGTGTTTCCCTAGGGAGACTTTGGGAATAAGTCATTGGAAAAACTTGAAATCATCAGGATTGAAAATCCATGAACTTCTTTGAATCTCATCTCATCAAAGCCCCACCTTAACTCTCCAATTTTGTTCCCCACAACTACTCAAATACTAAGAATACTCTATAACTATCAGGTTCATCTCCTCATGATCACACATAAATGTCATACTCAGTTCTGTTTCTCAACCTTTACTCCTGTTGTTTGCTCTACCAAAAATGTCTTTCCCTCTCTCTGCTAAATCCAATACTGTTCTTCCTTCAAGGCCCAAAGTCTTACTTCCTCCCTGAAGTCCATCTCTTCCTTGAATTTCTTTTTATACCCTTTGATTTTATACTCTTTTTAATCTTCTCAAATTGCTCTTTCTGCACTCATCCTGTTTTACTGATTATGTTTTAAGTTTCATAAGAGCATTCATGAGAGATGCTGTGTTGTATGTATGACATATGTGACATATATATATGACATATATTTTTATGTATATAAAATTTCCCCTTCATTTCCTAGAGCACATAAAAACTTCCAATAAATCCATTTTGATTGGTAGAAAACTTCTGTAATTTTTTTGGTATTTACCAACCTATCTGGAATGCAGAGCAGCTAGATGGAGAGTGGATAGAGCACTGGCCCTGAATTCAGGAGGACTTGAATTCAAACCTGGCCTTAGAAACTTACTATCTGTGTGACCCTGTGCAAGTCACTTAACCCTATTTGTCTCAGTTTGCCTGTATATAAAATGAACTAGAGAAGGAAATGGCAAACCATTCTAACATCTTTACCCAGAAAACCCCAAATGGGGTCACAGAAAGTTGGACATGACTGATAAGACAACAACCTGGAAGATACAATATAGTTCTTGGGTAGGTATAGGTCACATTGTAAATTCTAATTAGTAATAGTAGTAGAAATAACTAATGATAATGGTGTTGCTATGAAAATATTACCTAACATTCATATAAAGCACTGCTTTAACATCCATGACTTCATTTGATTATTACCAGTTTTTCAGGTGAAGAAAATGAGAATCAGAAAGGTTTGGTGACTTTCTCAAAGTCACAATTAGTAGGAGACATCTAGAAGTAGAATTTGGGTTTTTAAGCATATAGTAGACACATAATAAATCCTTATTGATTGATTTTTAGTCATATTACAAAGTGCTAATTAATAAATTAACATTATTGTACAGTTCAACCTCATGAGATTATGTTAGTATGCATTAGTACCCCTGGGACTTTGTTACTTACTAGTGTGGTAGCCACAGGTTGTGTAAACACAGAACCATAAATATGTTTATTGATATATAGAACAGAGGGAAAATCTTGAGGCCCAGATTCAATTCATACACAGGCATTTTGTATTGTGGGACCCATTGTAAGGTAATTTTTAAGTACTTAGAGGAGGGGAAAAGAAATTTTTGGATGAGTCCCTGGAACAAAAAAAAAAAAGACATACCCAAGTGGCCTCCTGTGATTACAGATATGCCAAACCTAAACAAACTAGGATAATATTCCATTATCCCATCATTATCTTACCATAACAAGAGACAGCATGGACTCACTTTCTTTATTTATAGGATGCACACTACATGGTACAGTGGAATCATAAGATGTGTAGTAGATCATAGGGCAGGGGAAAGCATGAGCAAAGTTAAACCAGTACATGTGCCAAAATGGTGGTTCCACCAAAGTACAAGCTATCTCCTTCCATGGTATTTTTCTGGGGATCACATTGCACTCTATACTTAACGTGTGGTTGGTATCCATCTGGCAGGAAGTAGTTGTGAGATTCTGAGGTTCAATGAGAAAGGAGCCTGGACGAACTTCAGAGTATAGGGGAAGGAAGAAATTAGCTTCCTCTTTTCTTAAAGTTATGCTAACTTATTTTTCTGAAGCAAAGCAAGAAATGAATACTGATATTTTTGATTTTCCATTCCCAAAGCTCCTGCTCACTGGTTAATGTTTCAGAGTTGGCAGATATGTGGCTCACATTATTATCCCCAGAAAATAATTGTTGAGTATTTGAGAACTGTGCTAGGCTCAGAGCAACAAAGAAGTGCAAGACATGGCCCTTGCTCTTGAGGAAATTACCATTTCATTGAAGACAAAGGATATGGACATAAAAACATATACCTCATTACTAGAACAATTCATAAAGACTACAGGAGCTCCAAGGAAAGAGTGAAAACTATGGGATAGGGCAATTTCGGAAGGATCCATATTGGAGCTGACTTGAAGTGGACCCTGAAGAAATGTAACAATAATAAAATATGTAACAATTGATATATAATAATAATAATTAGTGTTATTATTATTATTAACATCCTCAAAGTCCAACCCATCATTCAAATTATGAGCAAGGGAAGAGGAGAATGGCAAATCAGGGGAAATTCAATGAGGTTGAAGTACATCAAGAATGGTTTTGCCCTAAGACAATAATGGTAGTTTTGGGGGCTAGGCAAGAGTCCTGAAATGCTGGTGGATAATGCTCTAGAATGCCATAGAGTGGGGAAAAACCATAGTCATTCCAGTACAACTGTCCAAAAATTCTTTAAAAATAGATTGGGTGACATAGGGTTATAGGAAAGCCCTACTTAAAATTGTCACGATGATCAGCATGACCCAGAATACAGGGGTAAGTTGTTCCGTTTCATGCTCTGCTACCACAAAAAGATTAGAGACACTGAAATACCAATATTCACCTGCTATAAATGTTTCAGTGAAGATGGTGCTGACTGCCAAAGTGAACAAATATTAGTTAATGTAGAATGTAGGTTGTTACACAACAATGTATTGTTAACTGGCACCAGGTAATCATACAGAATTGTTTCAACTCTAAACTTAAATTAGATCAAAAAAGATAAAATTGAGAAGTTACTAAAATATAAAGGGAAAGAAGTTGAAGAACTTGAGATCTTTGCATCATTGAAAAGGAGGAATAGTTCTTGCTGCTTATAGGCCAGAAAAATGTTATGGAAGGAACATAGACAACAGCTACAGACATGGCCATGAGAAGACTCCTAAAGGAAGCAGTCTCCCTTTTTAAGGACTGAAGAAAGCTCATCTATCTTTCAGGAATAATGGTTGTTATCTATTAGCATTAGCCTTGCATATGGGCTAATTTATATATTAGGCCTATTGCAGAATTTTATTGTTGTCAAGAGATTATGTTAACCTATTGGCAAAGACAAAGGGGCCAATACTTTTTTTTTTTAATTTCGAGAACAGTTGGGGATTACATAGCACTTTGCTTTGTATTAAACAGGGGTCAATTTCCAAGATGGAAAGGAAAGAAAATGCAGGCATTCCTTTCTCTTTAACTCCATAATTGAATGAGTTTACTTAATGCAAATTCTAGAAGTTGTACCTAATAATGAAATGGATGACCAAAAACAGCATCAATGTCTTAACTGATTTTGCAAAGAAGGGCATACTTAGACTGAAATTTTAAAATGCCTTTTTTGATTTGACAACATGAATACAACTAGCAAACGAATTATAGTAAATGAGAATAATTTTTAAAATCTGATGTCTGCATTATGAATTCTCCAAGAGTATTTGACAGAAAGTACAAAAATATTTCAGTACTTAGACACAGTAGTATATGTGATGACTGTTGCCACGGTAAGGCCTAACCATAGGAGTAAAGGTGGAACTATCAAGGAAAAATTGTCTTGATATGTCCTTTGGGGGGAGGGGAGGATTAATTTAGTTAAATTCCCAGTCAATGTAACCTTACACAGAAGACTTTCTTTTCAAAGTGACTTCAGAGGACTTATTATTAGACCTTATGTACCTGGAATGAGGAAATCATGGTGGAATTTCCCATGTCTTACCAGTGTTACAGAAACTGTATCAAGGACTACCTCCTAAAAACAGGTATCAGATACCATCATGGTAGAAATTAAATGAGGAGTTATTGATGATCTGAAGAAATGCATTGGATTGCCTAATTAGTTATCTGGCATTGAAGTAGAAAACTCGATTACCTTATTAATAAATCAGAGGTAATAAAAAATGTGGAAAGGAATTCAGACAACAAAAGTATGTCAGATATTTTTTATGTGTCTTTAATTAGCAAGCAAAAGCCAAAAGGCTAAGATGGAAGGAATCGAAAAGCAAGCTGAAGAAGAAAATAAACAGCTCATCATCAATCATGACTCATGAATCTGAGAATAAGTTTGACTCATTTATGCATATGGTCAATTGTTAATTATAAAAACTTGTATCTGCATTCCAGGGATATCACATTTGAGCTGTGTGACCTTGGACAAATTATCCTTTTTACTCATACCTTATTCCCCTCCCACACTCTATGATCCAGTTACACTGGCCTTCTTGCAGTTCTTTGATACTCTGTCTCCCATATTTGTGTCTTTGCGCTCTGTCCTCCATGCTGCTCTTCACCTCTGCTTCCTCCAATCCCAACTTCTTTAGGTTACCTCTCCCAGTCTCCTTAACTGCTAATGCCTTCCCTTTTCAGATTATTTTCATCTATTTTGTTTATGTCTTGTATGTACCTAGTTCTTTAGATGGGGTGGACCCCATTAAGACATATGCTACTTGAGAGCCAGGGCTGTTTTTTGGTTTTCTTTGTATCCCAGCACTAAGTTCAGTGTCTGGCACATAACAAGTGCTTAATAAATGCTTTTTTACTAACTAATCAACTTAATCTCTGTAGGTCTCACTTTTCTTGGTTGTAAAGTGAAGACAATATCTGCACTACCTAACAGG